TTTACTACGTCTTGGATCCTCCTGATTAAATGTACTTTCTTTTATTTCTTCCCGAGGTCGTTTAGATCCTTCACCAATCGACTCGCATTCCTTTTTATATGGGTATATATTTTTAAAAAATTCGGCATTATCTGATTCTATAACCGTATTATTATGAATGTCGGGATTTTCTGATTTATGAACCAGAAATCGATATGCTTTACTATTGGTCGCATATCATATGAAAACACAATCAACGGTTTTCGGTCCTATTTTTACTCTTTTGGGTGTAGGAACTTGCACTTTTGCCAAACACCCCCACACTTTAAAATAATTCATGTTGGGCTTCCTTCCTTTCCATTTTTCATATGGAATGGATTGTGTTTTGCTAAGGGGTACTCGATTTAGTATCCGGTTAGCCGTAAGAACGGCTTCCCCCCCACAAGTTCTGTGGCAAATCAGAACTTATCAACAATGCGTTCATCATCTCCTTTAATGAACGATTCTTTCTTTCTGCAATCCCATTGGATTGGGGTGGGTAAGGGGCTGTTGTTTGATGAATTATTCCATATTTTAAACATATTTCTTCAAAAGGAGATTTATATTCGCCACCCCTATCACTTCTTATCACTTTAATTTTCTTGTTAAGTTACGCTTCAACTTCATTTTTGTATTGAATGCATGCATCTATTGCTTCATCTTTACTATTAAGTAAGTAAACATAACAATATAGAGTACTGTCGTCAATAAAAGTTATGAAATACTTCTTTCCACCGCGAGATGGTAATGACTTCATGTCGCAAATATCTGTGTGAATTAAGTCTAAAGGATTTTAATTCCTTTCATCTGACTTATAAGGATGTTTAACATACTTAGATTCCATACATATTCGAAATTTTGATTTGTCGCAGTCAAACATAGGCAATACTTCCAAATTAATCATTTTTCGCAAGGTTTTTTTAACTGACATGACCCAAACGTATATGCCATAATTCATTTGACTCAAGTAAGTAAGAAGAATCTGAAATTTTATTATTATTCTCAATAACCATTACATTCAGCTTTAAAAGGCCCTTAGTGAGGTAACCTTTTCCTACAAACATTTTATTCTTACTTATTACAACCTTATCAGATACAAAAACAGA